TATATATATATATATATATATGTATATACATATACACACGTATACATATGTATACACATGTATATATATGCATATATATATACATATACATATATATATATATGTATATATGTGTATATATATGTATATATGTACTACTTCGTGAATGGAAGAGAGGGTTTCCAAAAAAAGCACAGAAACAGAAAACTAACTGGTCAACACCAAAAATATTTCCAACAATAGAAAATATTTACGTTAAAATAGTAATTTGCTTAAAAACGAAAGATCTGGCATAGCTGAACCCAGATAAGGGAGCAACTCGGCAAAATCAACAATATTTGATCCCCAGAGTGATTGTCCGGGCGGTATTAGCAAACGTGGCATGTAAACAAAATGGTAAAGTACACAAAAAAAAAAAATATCAGCAAGCCAGCCTTAAAAAATTTGATGTTACAGCAATAAAAGTGTATTCAAAAAGAAAAAGTTTGTCTCGAAATGTAAGGGCAAAATGTGATGCGTCGAATAACTGGAAAACGATATGCAAATTCTTAGAAGGTTAATAAACCCTGAAGATATGGAAAATTAACGACAGGAAAGTGCTAGGCGAAAAAAAAAGGCAAACCTTATCCGTATCCATAGGTGTATTAGCGATTAAAATTTTCGCATTTTCGACTCTTTTCGGCTGGTACATGCCCGGACACTTTTCAAGCAGAAATCCTGAAATTTCCTCAGTTTGCCAATTTTAGGATCTAACTGATTTCCACGAGCATGATAACTGAATGATGTATCTGACCTTACTGTATGAGATATTGTCACTTCACATGAACAACTACTACCAAATGGGTTAGCAGCTGCGCTAGGAAGTTTACAATCTACCAAGAAAATCCACCCCGCCGACCAATATCTTCAGTCAGCGAGGGTCCGATCTTGGAGCTGCATCATCATTGGGACACTTTCAAAGTATTACTAGAATCAAATGCATGAAGAAATTCAGACTAACCGTCATCCAAATAGCTTTCACTGAGAGAGCCGCCCAATTTCTTGATGATTTGGATCGATTCCAGGGACCCAGATCCTTTCAGGCGCAAAACAGCATCAACAGCCAGCCGCGCAAAGTGCTCCTTATGTTGCGCCAGAATTTTAGAGCCCAATGTCGTTCGAGCAATTTTGATCAGGTCATCGTGCATCTCCTCCGACTTCGATGATTTGGCGGAGGCTCGCAATGCGTCCTGGGCTATTTTCAGTGCGCGACGATAGCCCGCAATGATTGTCTGTGGATGAATTCGTGCCGCAACCAGTCGTTCTGCTTCCTTCAGCAGTTCGGCAGCAAGCACCGTCACTGAGGTCGTGCCATCGCCAACTTCCGAATCTTGCGTCATTGAAATCTCTGCAAAAATTCTTGCGCTAACAACCAGAACGGGCTCGTTCAGGGCTATTCGCTGTGCTGCTGCACATTGGCAAGTTCAGCGCAACCCCTCAAGAAAAACAGGTCCAAGCGCATTTACAGTGTTCAAGGCATTTGTGTGGGACTGTAGCACACTTTTAATTGCCCAAAGAGAACGAACACATAATTTGGTACTATGTTATATCCCTTTAACTCAAGCTGCTCTTATGGTTGCAGGTAGCTGAGAATCTGAAACAGTTTGCTGCTCACTCCAGCAGTAATCATGAATTCCAGGTCAGCAATGGCGATTTTGGCGGATACCTCAAGGAATGCACTGTAGAAACGAAGAGCAATTTAGACCTGGCACTTTTCGAGAATTTGTGAATCGCACATGATGCGATTTCTATTGCACAAACACCACTCACCAACAAGCACTTTGGCTGCCGGATTATCCACGCCAATTGCCTTCAAGATGGTTGCTCCATCGTTGGTCACTTGCACTTGCTGCGATTCACCTTCGCCACTCAGCAAAATTTTGTCCTTAACCGAAATTATTATAAAACTTGCGAAAGCACTAGAAACATCGCTGACTATTCCGATGAGGCGAAAGTATTCCTTGGGCATTGTTCTTTTGTTTGCGCCAATGCAGCGAAAGTGAGCGACAAAGAAATAACAGCAGCAGCTAATCAAAGCATCGCAGCTGCGCCGCCTCTCGAATTTCATCAAACAAACTTCACTACCAAGCTAATAGTTAATCTCTTTTTTACCCGGCTTTCTCTGGACCAACCACTTGCTATGCGTTTTTTGCAGCTATGCAATGCAGAAAACGCATATTGACGAGGGTTTTTTTTGTGTGTGTGTGTGTGTGTGTGTGT